TCTCTGATCCAATTTGAGATTCTAGGACAAATACCCTCTCCCTTGCTTGCCTTTACTTGTTGGCAACAATGGCTGCATCTTGAAGTGATGATAGAAGCTGTTCTGAATGGTCAAACCCAAAGTGTCTTAAGGCCACCTTTAAAGGGATCTACGCACCACAATTATTGGTCACGAACTCTATTTGCATTGGTCTGCCTACAAATAGCCATTAAAGAGGTTTATTTTGGGTGACCTTTTTCAACACACTTCTCACTCATTATACGCATGTGTGACTAATGGTGACCAATACTGCATTCTAACTTGGTAATATAAAGTGCACTCTCCCCTGCATAAACCTAGTTTCTTAGAATATCAGTAGATGGGGCCTGTAAGAGGCAAACCACAGTATTGGAATATCTTTTCATACTGTGTCCCTACAGCTCTGCTCGTGTGTTTTAATAGAACATTATCTTTCACCCTCTGTCTGTCTTGTGCGTGTAGCTGGCGAGAAGAAGAAGCCTGTCAAACCAGCAACAGGAACTCCTAGCCCCAAACTAAATGGTCAGTTCTATTACATTCTTTTTTTTATTCCAGGCTAGCGCAGTCATATCATTCCTCATCTATTCTTGATTTCTCTTATCTGCACTATTTTGGTCCGGTTTAGTTTGTTTTTGTCTACTTTGGTTTAATAAATTCTGGTCTGATCCTTTGCACTGTACGCTTCTCTGTTCCACAGTGTTGTTCTCAGTGTGTTCTTGATGATTTTATAGTACTGTACTGCTTTCCATCGTAAATAATTAATTTCTTCTCACTACACATAGAAAGGTAAATTAACCACTGTGATGTTTTTCTTTTCTCTGTGCTGCTGCTTCGTTCAGTTCACTGTTTTTCAGACCCGCTCTGTTGCAATTTATCCTATTCTGTTGTAATTTAATAACTCTTCGCTTCTCATTGCACATGAAAGAGTTCCTACAGCTTCTGTATGTACAAGCTCCTGTAACTATCAAAGCAGGAAGCATGCCTTAAATCTAGGACTCTGCCTAAAGCCAGGCATAAATATTTTGTCTTAATACAAATAGATATTGGGTTGTAACTGTTGGCAGAAATGCTCAGGAAAAGCAAGAACTTCTGTGTATATACATATTTACTATATGTTATACCAAATAGGCACACGTGAAAATAAGTTTTTTTACTTGGAGTTTACTGATTCAACTAAACTAGAAAACATCTCAGATCTCACGGATGGCCCTCTGAGACTAAATCGTTTATTCTGTTCTGTTCAGTCCTATTCTCTTCTATTCTGTTCTGTTGTATTGCATTCTATTTTATTCTGTTATGTTCTGTTATATTGTATTCTAGTCTGTTCTGTTCTGTTGTATTGTATTCAGTTGTATTCTGTTCTGTTGTGTTATATTGGAGTCTAATATGTTCTGTTATACTGTATTCTTATCTGTTCTGTTCTCTTCTATAGTTCCAGACGATGTCTTTGCTCCGAACTACATATGGAAAGGTTCCTATAATTACCGTGGGAGGAAGCAGCCTATGACACTGAGTATTACCAGCTTCAACTCCACAACAGGGAGAGTCAACGTTTCCCTTAGCAATGGCAACATGGACCTGCTCCTATCAGGCATGTCATTACTGGAATGTCATCCAATATAGTATATGTGACTTTACATCAAATGTCATGCATCAATGTATGGCATGATGATTCTGCAGCACATTATGATATTGTATTGATCATTCAGTAACACACTAAATAGCCATTCTGAGTAATATGGACCTTCTACCATTAACATATTTACTGAGACTCTATAAATCATTTGTGCTGTTTTCTAATGGGGTCTGGATTTTGCTACTTTCCCGGAGCTATAATGCTTCTTTTTAATGTTGTTTAATGTTTAATATTACTGAATTTCCCCCCAAAACTCGCACATACACATATTCACACACAGACCTCCCAGGGTCCTACAACTGCGTCAGCAGGGGGTTAAGACCCTATTAAAACACAAATCCTGTTGAAGCTAGAATTGGTTCCTGGAGAAGCAGAGAGTACAAACACCATATCACAAAACCATGCAGCTATCAGACTTTTAACATGCATCTTCTGGCTTAAAGGGGCAGCTTTAGATCAATAACTGCTAAAGCTGTGCTCACACAGGCACCAAAAATCCAGTGACTAGTTGCGTAAAACGTGAATGATTTTCTTTTAAAGATTTTTCTTTACATAACTATAGGTTTCCTTTCCAAAACACTGTACTTAAATGAGTTATTAGTTTAGTATACTGGGAAAAAAATTTTTTTCCAAGAGTGAAATAAAACATCAATCTTAGATCAGTGTATTAAGTACAAAGCTGAAAAGTCAAGGCATGTTCAACCTAGTTTAGTATAAAGACTGCAGGCATGGGTAAACAGTTAGCCTGGCTCTGCCGAAAGCAAAAAATATGCCTACTAACAACTCTGTCTCACCCGTACACAACCAGAAAAGCAAAAATGAGGATTTGTGATGTTAAGGGGAGATACAGTACATATTTGACTTATTTACTTTACTACTTTTTGTACAAACGCGTTGTCTACATTCTGCTGTCTCACTCTTTAATCAGTGTTTGTTTAATTAATTTTATAGCTGAAGATTACTATATGATCTGTATTCTGATTTAACTCTGTTATTTTATAAACCAGTTGTTTTATTTTGTCCTCTGTAGGAGTGTATAAGGCTTCTGAGGCCAGGCTGTTACTGCTGATGTACCAGGTGAACTATGTGAACCAGGGAAACCAGCTGAAAGATTCCGCCATCTCTCCAGCTAAAATCATAGATGACTCTTGGACCATGGATGGATTTGTAAGTTTCACTGGATACAGAGCAATCATATTAGTTAGATTCACTTGAGCTAGATTAATTTAGAAGGGTTAACACAAAATGTCACAATAAAAAAAAACATAATAAATCCTTGTCATTAAAGTTAATCCAAAATACAAGACACTTTAAGTGTACTAGACTGTTTTTGTAATGGCATTTGATTACAGTGCTGTTAATTATAACAGATCAGTCAGAGTGAGACGTATCACTGCTCTGTACTTGGCATAGCATTTAATCAAGTTAATGCAGTTGTCATATTATTTGTCATTCCAAGATATTACCAAATACTAAACAATCTAAATGCTGTGGTCATCTGCTCACAAGTGACCTCTAAAGATTGATATTCATCGTGAAGTACCTGCAGATTAGGTCTAACAAAGTACATAACCTACAATTTAACAGCATAAACACATGCCCCAGGCCGTATTTATTGTCTGTGATTCAATTGTGACAATTTGTTGAATCTGTATGTAACGGTATTTGTCAATCAAATATATATATATATTTTTTTTTAATCAAAATTAAAAAAATATGACATGAATTTGCACATGACACAAACACAAAATGCGGCCAACCTTTGTCCCTCTCCTATTACTATACAGTATGCCTCCTATGTGTTCTTCCTTTTCCTTCATGTCCTCTTTTCCTCTCCAGGTATCAGCAGAGCCTGATGGTTCTAGTTACGTATTCCAGGGTTTCATTCAGGGAAAAGACTACGGACAGTTTGGACTGCAAAGACTGGGTAATTATCTCTTAGGTTTAGTAACGGCACCAAATAATGAATGAGTTTCCTGTAAGTTGATCCAGACTATATATGATAATTAGAAAAATCGGATGAACTGCTTGTAAAAACCTTTAGCGAATGGAAATAGCGATCAGGCAGCTTTTTTTTGCTGGCGAAAGAGACCATATTGCTGATGCTGAATCAGCCTTGCAGTGGCTACTTTCTCACCATGAGCAAAAGCTGCTTTTCAGACTTGAAGTCATCTTACAAGATCTGAACTCCATCAACCTGCACCCAACCATCACAATGAAACAGAGTTGAGAGCAGTTGTCAGTAACAGATGTGCAGTGATGCCAAAATCGTGCAAACACATGGACAACAGAGTACACTTTTTGGGGATAACAACAAATTCAACAAGATGTGACGTGTAGTCCATGGACATCCTGCAAATGCGAAGCAGATAATAAAATTGTAATCCTTCAGCATCCACTCTCGACAAGATCTCACTTGGACCTGCTGTGGCGAGAAATGTCAGTCCTGTGTAGGCTTTGTCAGTTATCAACATCCCTGCCACATATGTCACACATACTGTGCAGTAACGCTACAACAATATAAAGTTGCAGATATTACAGGAAAACTTTATTTCAAACATGGAACAACATTGACACAAAATGTTGAAGCAATAACTCTCCTTTTACCATGTCATCCAATCTACATTGTGGACAGTGATAATTAATTTTCTTTGTATGCCACAGGTTTGAATATGTCAGAGAGTCAGAACTCGCCACCGCCTCAGCTCGGTACCAACAGCAGTTCTGTGGCTATCGCTATTCTGGTGCCTTTCTTCGCTCTAATATTCACTGGCTTTGGCTTCTATCTCTACAAACAAAGGTATGTGCTAGAAAATGCCTTAATACATACAATTGAAGTGCATTCATGTTTGTTACTGCTTTGCAACTTCTCCTCTGTTTTTCATTATTGTCATACAAAATGTAGAAAGGCATTGTTAACATTTTGAGAAGCTGTCTAATTGATGAAAACAGTACCTGCCTCAGTGGTTTGGTTGTTGAGGTGCTAAGAGGCAGTCAAGTCATTGTCTATTACAAACTGTTCTGTTTAGGAGGTGTTAAATTGGATTTTTCAGAGATATGATTTAAGCACAATTGACTGGTGTTCCTATTGTTAACAGATGCAAATAACTTCTGTTCTGCTGTTAATATCTTAAAAAAAAGCTTGCTGAAGGAATTAGTTTTGGATGGGCTGATTGGAATCTCACTAGGCCGCCCAAAAAGCACAACAATCTCTCTAATCCCTCTTAAAGCTTGTTTACTATGCCTCTGCTCCCAAGACTGCATTCATTATTGTCCACTGGCTACCCAGTTAAGTTAATATTAATAGATAATTAGAGTAATGTTATCACTCTAATGGTGTATTTATCATTTCTTTACTGTTGCTGGGTTTTTCTTTTCACAGAACAACACCAAAAACACAGTACACAGGCTGTTCAGTCCATGAAAACAACAACGGGCAGGCTGCCTTTGAGAACCCCATGTACAACACCAACGCCAAGGCTGTGGAGGGGAAGGCTGTTAGATTCGATCCAAATCTAAATACTGTCTGCACCATGGTCTGAGGATTGATTATCCTCACTTGAACTTAATGACTCAGATATCTAATGGGACCACAATTGGTACGAGGCTGTGGAGGAGAAAGCCGTATGCTTCGACTACATCCTCAACATCGTCAGCAACATGGTCTATTCATTGATTACAGAAGACCTCCAGTCCCAGTTCAGAAACCTGATCTCGCCAAGCAGTGGGAAAGGCGTCCAAATGAAACCAAAGCCCAGCCTTGGTTCCTTTCACTTACAGCATTTTGTATCCACAAATGAAATCTAAAAAAAAATGTGAACACAAAATGTCTGCCACTAGTGGATGCAACACAGCCAGAGAAAACTCAAAGTGAGATGTGACATCAAGTAAAAGAAAAAGGAGGCAACCCAACAGAAAACTATTCCCGGCTATTGTCCGTTTCTAACCCCAAGACTCCGCTGGTCATGGATAGTTTATAATTTGATTCTAAACCAGACACAGCCATTATACTTCAACCTCTTATTTAACCCCTGTTCACAGTCTCTAATACTGGTAGTAATGATTAAGCCATGACCTGCTTTTCTGATCTCATGACACGCCACCATGACCCAATGTCGAATTTTGTATTTGCTTCAGAGCTTTGGAGAGAAGGACCCACTCTCAGCTCTGTGACCTTGCCTGGAGAGAGAGAGAGAGAGAGCACATTATCAGTGCTTTGGCCATGGTTTGCATCATGGAGATAAACTGCACTACAAAAATGGGTTGATTTCATTTGTACCATGTTGTCTCCCCAACTGTACTAAACAAATCCTGTGGGGAACACCGAAGCAAAATGGCCAGACGTGGGAAAGTGTGACATGAAAAGGATGTCACTAAAGACACTGTGAAGCAAAGAAAACTGTTTCTGAATATCTGGGTTCAAACCTGACAGTAAAAGACACTGTCACCAGCAGACCATCAGTAAACCAGACTGACTAGTTGTGAATAGGAGCCTATAAAACGACCACGGAATACAACACCCTAGCAACCAGACGGGACAACCTTGTGTCTCCATGACAACCAGAGGCTGGTATTACTAGTCTCTTTTCTTTTTCTATTAAAATGGAATCTAAAATGGCTAATGCTAGCAGACAGTAGCAAAAGTTGCTTTGAAAAGAGACTAACTCTTAAGCAAAGGATAAGGGCAGCCCTGGAGACGGAGCTATAATCCTAACTGAACTGGGATTAGAGCAAAGCAAAACGAAATAGAGGGGAGCTAGCACTAAGAGAACAGATGAGAAGAGACGGACTCATTGAATGGATAAACTGCTCCTCCCCATCCAATGGATAAGAGAGGAGGCCAAGGAGACGGAGACAAACCCTAACTGAACTGGAAGTAGACTGAGGTAGTCATCAAGGGAAAAGATGAGATCTTAAAATCGTAACGCAAGCCAATCAGAGCCTGTCTAACCTGAAATCAACTACTGAGAGAGGTCGGTCTTCCCTCTACATAATGAATCAGATCAGACAGAATATGGCCTTGAGGAAAGATGTTTCTGATCCTGTGAATTTAAATGGATTCTGATGAGAAAAACGCTGAATGGATACAGAGGACTCTGATGGACTTACAAAGAAAAAGACTTTGAGAAACAGAGAAAGCTCTGGCATTAAAGCACATTTTACAGGAACACTACCTGTCTACCCCCAGAGAGATGGACTAACACAGGGACAGACAGAGAGGTTAGAGGGAAACTGACAGAATGAATGACAGACAGAAAAGATGACAGGTACACACACTAACATAAATCTGGAGAGACAGAAAGACAGAGAGCAGACAGATGGTATTAAGACCAACAGTAAGACACACAAGGAGACAGACAGGTTCAAGAAAGACAAGCAGAGTCTTAAGACTTGCAGGTCATCGTTCATTGTATCCTCTCCACAGACAGATAGGCTTAAATACAGATTAACAGGCTTACAGACAGACAGACAGACACAGAGACAGGCTGATAGGTGACACAGACAGACATACATTGATAGACAGGCTGAAAGAAAGACAAACAGGGTTGTAGCCCTACGATTGTGGACACAATTCCACTGTAATTTTGCACTCTGCGAGTGCTTATCTTCTTTCTTTGTTATTGCTGCAGAATCTTCTGATCTGTAAATCTATTGCATATATATTCGGGAGCATTCACCACCTATATTTTTGTGCTATATATTTACCACAGGGGAGGGGGTGAAGGGGAAAGACGGATTATAGCAGAGTTTTTAGAAAAAAAAATGAAATAAATATCCGATTAAAAGATATTACAACCATGTGCTGTTCACAGAAGTCACAAACAGTATTTGGTTTCTTTGTAACATGGAATTGGTTTATTTTCATTTCTTGTGTAACGTGAAGTTCCTCTCACCATCACTGTCTTTCCCACTGAGGCGATCATGAGTGTCAGTGGTATTGTTGTTGTCATTATTGTTGAGATGATGCAAGGTTTGCCAGCAACAATCATGGTCTTTAAAGATGTTCCATCACACATTCATCACAGATAGCAAATTTCTAAACCCTTAATAGACGGAGTTTGTGGCTGCCATTTTTTTTTCACCCTTCACTAGAGCTGTTGGCCACTACAAATACATACGTCTCTATAATGGTCATCGCTGTGACACAGACAACATTTTAATGATCTGCTGGAATAGCAGCACTGTTTTCGACCCTAACTGGTGATATGATGCCACAGAGATTTGCACATCAAAACTAATGCTGTTTTTCAGCAACAGTTCAGAGGTGTCAACAAACTCCATGTTGTCACGGCAACACAGAAATCCCAGTTCTCAAAGGAACCCACTTGTTTGATTACACATAGCCAAACTCTTATGAGCTCTGATTCTGGTTGAAGTTAGTGTCTCCATTGTCTCTCACATAGACATGGTAGAAGAAGAAACACAAGCACGGTAATAATAATGATAATTATGATAATAATTATAATAATAATTATAATAATAATAATAATGGTGATAATTGCTGTTGAACTGCCCAACGTGTAGTTTGTGTACAAGATGAAAATCCGTGTTGTACGTTGACATGCTAGTTCATGTTTGTATTTTTATACGTTGAGGATTCGAAAGTAAAAATGAGGAATTTGATTTAGAAAGAGTGGCTTTTAGGATGTTTTCAGTGGGTTTGTTTGTGGACTAAAATTATGATCTTACGTAGTTGCAAAATACACAGGTTTTAATCTTGTTTGTTCTTAAAACCTCAAAGAAGAGATCCGTAAACCTAAATGATCCTCACCACAAGTTCACCTAGGTTTTGCATCACAGAGTCTTGGTTCTGAAGGTTCTCCCTGTGTTAAAGATGTTTCACAAATCAATACTGAAAGGCCTGAGATCACATGAATTCTGTTTTAGGGTTCTCCTTTTAAACTTGAATTCGCCTTTGTACTAAAATCCACATCAATTATAAATTGGCGTACACTATTTACAAGGCTTTGAGTTTTGGAAAAAAAAGTTTGTACTATCTTCAAGTGTCATCCGCACACTAGATTTTAATGACAGAGTTTTGTGTGTGCACATTGCATTTGAAAGCTAAAAGGCCTTGAATATAATTTCTTTCAGAAACACTGAAGCTTAACTGAACTGACCATTTGGGAGAAGATCTTAAGATTTCAAGTTGACAATTGAGTAAATTCAAACACAACCAAGGCCACTGAGATTCGATATTTCCCCTTGCTTTTGCTTTTATTTATTTAATAGCATAGCCTTATAATGTCAGCTCAATGTTCCTTGGCTGGTAGTTATTTTCTATATGTGATCTCCCACCCATTCTATTACATTCTGTATAGCTGGCAACCTTCATTGTATTTATCCCCTGTAAGCCACTGGGGGCTGTTGTTGCACATGTTGTTGGCCTTTCTGATGGTTTCATGTGCCATCAAGGAACCACTACTGAGGGAAAAGAAGATGTTCGATGTTTGTGTGAAACCATGCATAACATCCATATAGTAGGGTCATATTGTAAGGGTTAGGCCTGAAGATGTACCATATACCCGTACCTATATTAATTGGTCCCCACATCAATACAGGAATACATGTATCAACGAGCATGAATCACTGTTTTTCAGCTTTGGTGACCATTTAAAGAAAAAGTATTTGTTTTGTTTTGAAGAGGCTGGTTTAAAGGTTTCAAACTGAATTCAGTGCGTTTGGGTCCCACACATGATGAATACCAGTTGTTTTTAATGAGTTTGGGTGTCAGGGTGAGCGAAAACATCGACTTTGTTTTAAGAACCCCTGCTGTCGTGACCACAGGCACCGACTGCAACCAGCTGACAGAAAACTCCTTTTAAAGTCATTATTGATTTAAAAGCAATGGTAGCTGCAGCTTCCTTGTTTATCAATGCTGCGGCTGTCCTGCACTGCATCGCTATGGTGACATTGTTTCTTATTACAGTTTGGATTGATTGTTGCTGCTGTTGTTGTTGTTGTTGCTGTTGTTGTTGTTTTTTTTTCGGTATGGATCTGACACAGTGCCTACCAAAAACCATGGGACCCTCCCTGTCATCTACACACGCACGCACACACACACACACACCACGAACGCACTACAACCAGCACACACACAACACACACCGGGACACACACACATACACCACACCTCTTTAACACATACACACACACACATATACATAGACATACACACCTGCTCCAGCCCTCCCCTTCATCAAGAAGTCATTTTTTTCTAAGCTTCAGTCTATTTTGCCACAAGCTTTTCCTACTGACTGACCGCAATAAGACCCATGTGATTTGAAAGACTTAAAGCTGTTCCTGCCCTGGGGACATTGGAGATATTCACCATTTGAAAAAAAAAAAGAAACATAGAATAAAAAAGTGTTTTGTACAGAAATATATTTTTATGATGAAATTATTTGTAAAATGTATGAATCTATTATGTAAATTTTCAATGCAATGTAAGATTAAAAAAGGCTAATTGCTTTTGTAAAAAAAATGTGTCTTCTTTACTGTCCTTTTTACTTTGAATGATTTTTTGTAAACTGATATGTATGATATGTATCAGTCAATGAACACCTGAACATATTGTCATTTATGAGGACAGTATATGCTACACATTATAAAGACATGTTGAAATTGAGCTGCTTTAGGTTCAGGCACAAAGTGTATAGAAATATATGGTATATTCTAGCTATCTCACCTTGAGATGAACTCCCTAAACGTCTTCCATTCATTCTTATTGGAAGTCCTTATCACTGTGAATGCAACATTATTTTTGCAGCTGCACCGGTGACTGCTGGTCTGACTTTCTGTGA